CAGCCCTAGGCCTCTAGCACAAGAAGGATGCAGAGCTATTGGAGCAGGTCCAGAGAAGGGCTATGAAGATGCTCAGAGGGCTGGAGCACCTCTCCTATGAAGAAAGGTTGAGAGAATTGTGTTTGTTTAGCTTTAAAAGCTCCGGGGAGACTTCTTTGTGGTCTTCTCCAGTAATTGACAAGAAGTTTATAAGCTGGAAGGAAACAAAATTTTTTACACAGTCCTATGATGACAGTAGAAGGGAGAACGGGCTTTAAACTAAAGGGGGGAAGATTTGGGTTAGATGTTAGCAAGAAATTATTTACTCAGAGGGTAGTGAGGCCCTTGCACTGCTGCCCAGGATGCCCCATCCCTGGAGGTGCTCAAGGTCAGGTTGGACAGGGCCCTGGGCAGCCTGAGCCGGTGAGGGCAACCAGCCCACAGCAGGAGGTTGGGGTGGGTAGGCTTTAAGGTTCCCTTCCAATCCAACCATTCTGTGATTCCATTATTTGAATGTGGACTACCAACTTAACTATCAGCAGCTAACACCAGCCAAGCATACATAAGTAGTGGTTGGTGCTAAGCTACCAACTCGACTTGAGAATTGAATCTTATTTCCTCCTTTTAATTCCAGTTGTTTACCTTCTGCTTTCTTGTATTTCTACACTTGAGGAAGGAACTTATTTGTAGGAGGAGGCCTGTGAAAAGTGAGAATAGCAACAGCAGGTTAAAACTACAGGGCTCCAAACCGTTCCTAGGTTTCCACTGCTTTATGGTTGGCTGGCTATGCAGTTGGCATGCTGGTTGCCCTTTTCTTTGTCTACCAGCACCTGCACTGTGGGACTTGCTGTGGAGAGAGCAACGGACACACCTGTTCCAGGAACCTAAAATGCCAGAGCTGACCTCTGTTCGCCTGCTGGTGGGTGGTGCACATGCACTTGTCTACACTGGTATCTTAGTTTTCGCTGAGAAGGAATTGTTTTCTTCACTGTCTGGTATGATGCTATGTTTGGTTCTAGGAGAAAAGCAGTGTTGATAACACACTGATAATAGTTAATAGTTAATATGTAAATGTAGTAAATGGTAATAGTTGCTGCTAAGCAGTGCTGTATGGAGCCAAGGCCATTCACAGCAAAGAGCCCCGGGGAGCTGGGAGGGAACAGAATTAGGACAGCTGACTTAAACTAGCTAAAGGGATATTTCATAGCATGTGACATCACATGGAAGGAGAGTTTTGAAAGAAGCAAGCGGGGCGCTGGTGAGCAACTGCTTTTGCATCACTTGTTAATGCATTCACATATACATACACCCACTCATAAGTATTATCCTTTTCCTTTATCTTAAGTAGTTTATCTCAACACACATGTTCTACTTTGTTTTCCCCAGTTTTCTCCCCCATGTCACTGGGAAGGGATGAGCCAACGACTAAACCACACAGGTAAAGCCACCTGCTAGGTTAAACCACAACACCTGGTGACATCAAATACCTTCTGAACAAATCACAATGGGTTGTTTGGCCTGACTGCACCAAAAGTTGGAAGAAGTGAGAAGTTCAGGAACCACAACTGTGTCAGCTGAGGGGAGCTTTCTTGATCCTTGATACGGGCTGGTTTAGCAATAGGGAGCAGTAGATCAGTTTAGCAAAAGGGAATTGATGCGTGCTAGTTGCAAAACTTCCAAGTTTAGCTTTCGCTTGCTATGGGAACAGTCTTGTTTTTCTGAACAATCCCCCTTCACTGAAGCACTGAAGTCAGAATAGATTACTTTTGTCTTCTTCTACCTGAACCACCAGGTGCAAAGACTTTTTCTTGGGTTTCATTTAAATTGGTTTAAGTGGTAATGCACTAAGATAGTTGCTCATTATGGCATAACAAGCAATGGGAATTCGCCAAATTGGGGAAAATAGCTGTGGGACAACCAAATGGTACTGTGATAAAGCTGAAAATGAAATAGTTGTAGACCACTTACTACTACTTCTCTATCGTAGGCCCCAACTGTGCATGTCTCCAGAGGGACATCTGCATATATTAATGACTTATTGGAAAAATAATCAATATGTATGCAAATGCACTGCATATGTATGTCTTAACTGTTTAAATACATAACCTGAAATCCAAGAGTGCATGCTTGATTTGTCAAGCTGCCTGGTACATATTACGAGGAATAAGAGAATGCTGCTTTCCAACACCACGTTGGAGTTAGAAAGTTTTCTTCCCAGATTTTTCCAATGACATCCTTACCTAGGAATTGTAAAGTAGATTTTCCAGTTGTAAAAATGAAATACAGTAAGTTTCTAAACAATTATGTGACAAATCTGCAGTTTGTAGAGTGTCATCTGAAACATAGGAATAAACTCTAATTCCAATGGGATGTTAGAAGGCAGGCATTCTCTATTCAGTGTGGCAGGCATCTTGGACCAAGCCAAGTGCACACCCACAAAGTCAGAGATATGCTTTATTCACGTGGGAGATGCATATTAATTATATTCCTGAGAAGCAGTTTACATTTTTTGGGAACTCATTAATATGTACTACTGTTGTTCAGGCATGCATGATAGAGCCCTCTGATAGACCATGATGGCCATTTTTCCCATCTATCATATTCTTCCTCTTTCCTGACCTTTGACTACCTTTTTTTTTGTTAAGTTGGTAGTTCCCATAGCTTGCCTTGCTACAATGAAAGACTATTTGTTCCCAGCTTTGCTAACATAGCATTAAACAATTAGCTTCTAAAGTCCTTGTACCTACTAAGTAGATAACAAAGAAATAAACAGAACCTGTACCAAGCAGACAAAGCAAGCATTGTGCATCCAAGGCAAGGAGCCAACACCCATCTCCACCAGGGAACACAGTGAAAACTTTGCTGAGTTAACCTATATCAAGAAAGAGAACTGAATACATTCAACTTCCTATTGAACTTTCATTAGGAAGGACTTATGGGGTAATACAAGAACACAGTAATGTAATTCTGTACAATCAATGAATATACAAGATGTTATGGTGTACCAAAGAGCTTAGCTACATAGTTATTACACCAAAGCAGAAAAGAGAGGACAGTTACCCATATCCTGGGCTCACTTGTAAGACTCCAGCAGCATGAATCCCCAGAAGAGATCCCTCCCCCACAGGCTAGTCAGCTCTTAAATGGGTCTAGGAGAGGTGGAGCCAGGCTTCCGGCAGCACAGCTGAATTGCCTTCACCTGTGCTCCCCTGGCTGACTCTTTTCTCACTTCAGGTGATCAATCAGAGGTTCAGGCCGTGATTCAGCACACAAATTCATATTTTTAAGTAAGCGTCTTAATGTTTCTAACAGTACCTTAGGGATTATGGCAAAAGTTACTCATTGGTTTCTTACATATTAACATGTCTTTAAGCCACTTAGGTTTGAGAAAAGCTCACATTCTGTAGCACCTATGGAAGTCTCATGCTCCTCCTGCAGCAGCAGGGGTGCCCTGGGGCTAGTGGGTGCAGCTCTGCCTGTGGCGTGGCTTGGAGATGGACGGTCTTTAAGGTTCCTTCCACCCCACACCTTGATGTGTTTCTGTGCTTACCTCAAACACACACGAAATGGCAGTGGAGAGTGGGTTTCACAGTGCCTTTCTTTTTCAGGATGTTGCTGGTAAGGAAAAACAATACCTCTGCCCACCAAATGTCTGTATGCACAGGGCTGGCAAAGGAAACCTGTCCAGATACCACAAAGTATAAAAGCAAAGTGTAAAAATATGGCTAACACTGCAAGGTGAAGGAAAACAAAGTAATGCCCAAAGCTGTGTGTGCCTCTGTGTATGTTTGCGCACAGCAGGGCACAAATCCTCTCAGGGTGAGGACTCGTGCTTACAGGTGGGAGAAGAGGTGATGTTTAGAAACAGTCCCTGCTTGGATGCTGTGTCTCTCCAAGGCTGTGCTGCACCTCACTCAGCACAGACAGCACTTTGTTACTGCAGAGCTTGGTGGGACCACGAGCAGAGGGAAAGCACGAGTGTCCACACAGTAGTGGAAAATAGGTGTCTGGTGAGCAGCTGATGGGGGCAAAGCTTCTTCGAAGTGCCTCCGACAAATCTCACCCCAGATGCAGGGAGCAGATAACAGCATGAGTCCGCCTGTCCTGCTGCCTGAAGGCACCCTGGGTCTCTGGGGGAAGAGGTGGATGCAAGACAGGGTGCCTGGCTTTAGGTGGAGCAGCAGCTATGGTTTCACACAGGAAGGGCCTGGCCCCGCTGCCATCACATCCCACTGCTCTGAGCACTGCTGCCAGAAGTGTTGCCTTTGCCCCACTGTGCCCTGCTGTCCTCCACAGGTTAGTAGCATGGTGCTGCCGCATGCTCCCCAGCCTGGAAGGAGTCGGATAGCAAGGGAAAATTATGTGTATGAATGTACATGTGTATTGATTTAAAGAAACTGACGAGTAGGAACTTAACAGCAAAGTTAGTTACCATTAAGCAAGGTATTCTTTTTTGGCAGCGCTGGGGTAGCATCAAGGTAACTCTCCAAAAATGCTTCCCCAGTTGATTGTCCATAAGCAGGTTATATTTTCACATGTATTATGTACATAATAGGATGAGAGAGAATTGCACCAGGGGAGATTCAGTTTGGACATTAGGAAATGCTACTTCTCTGCAAGAATGGTCAGGCTGCCCAGAGAGGTGGTGGAATCACCAACCATGAAGGTGTCCAAGGAACATTTAGATGTTGTACTGAGGGACATGGTTTAATGAGAACTATTGGTGGTGATAGGTGGACAAGATGATCTTGTAGGTCTTTTCCAACCTTGCCAATTCTATGGTATTCACTGCATTCCCAAATTCTTAGCCTATCTACCCCGAATGACTGCCTAACAGATATACCCTTATGTAGCAATCTTCGATGTCATCTAGTGTACTTAGCGTTGTAATGGTTCATTTGTTAATCCTTGGGGGTCGTTTACTTCCTCCCAACACTCTTTTTGTCCCAAAGATTGCTGTGGAATGCCAGAGCTATTGGAATAGTCTCTGCACGCACAGATAAGGAAGACAAAGGGAAACTTCTCGCTGTTCACCACGTCATTCCGTTGTTGTTTCTTTTGCCTTGTTAAAGTAGACTTGCCTTACAACGTCTTCCCATCTAAAATACTAAATCACAACTATCAACCACAACATTTAAGGACTACTGCAGTATTGCAAGGAAGCATTAACAGAATATTTTGTGTAATTACTTTTTCAAATCGCTATTTTCCTACTTTCCCCTGCTCAGCGAATGGCTTAATGCAAAATGTTTGCCACGTCCTACTTGGGGAACGAGGGACGCCGTTATAAAGTTGCTTTACGGGCAGGCTGCTCCTTGCTTGCAGCTTCGTCCCGTTGCTGCAGGTGTCGGGGCTCCACGTGCAGGGTCGGCAGCACCGCGGCTCACTATCGGTTTCTGTTCTGGGCTCTGAGTCTACCCGCGGGACAGGGAGGAGCTCTGCATTCATTGGGGGAGAAACAAATTTGTTGCAAAACGCCCGCTGCCTGGCATCACTTTCCTCCTCGTCTCCGTCGGTGCACCGAGGTGAGTGCAGCCCCGAGGAGCGGCTCCCGGCGCCTCCAAACGCTACGTGCCCCAGCACGGTGCCAGCAGCTCTGCCTGGCACACCTGGGCTCGGACGCGGGGCTTCTGCGAGAACGAGCCCTCCTGACTGCTGCCCCCTCCTTTCGCAGCCTGGCTCTCGACGATGGCCGTCCCCACCGTGGTGACCCTGCAGCCCCAGGCGATGGCCAGGACCACCAGCGCCAGCCCTATGTGGCAGACGGGGCTGATGGATTGTTTCACCGACTGGAGCGTCTGTGAGTGCCGGGGGGTCGGGCGGGCGGCGGAGGCTGAGAGCGCGCGCCGACGGTGCGTCCCCCTTTGCAGGCTGCTGCGGGCTGTTCTGCTTCCCCTGCTTGGCCTGCACGGTGGCCGGCGACATGAACGAGTGCTGCCTCTGCGGAACCAGTGTAGCCATGAGGACCCTGTACCGCACCCGCTACAACATCCCGGTCAGTGGGGCGCGGGCGGCACGCTCCCTTTTTCCCCTTTTGTCTCTCAACCCCTCGCACAGCCACGCGGAGGGGCCGCGCTCTGCACCCTTCCTGCCCGCCCCGTCGGGGATCGGCTCCGTGCGGGCGGTGGAAGGACGCGGTGTGTGCTTTTTCCCCTCTGCCTCAGACCGAGAAAATAAAAGATAAGTTGCTCTCTCAAGGCCGGTGGTAAGCCATCATGTCTCCCTTTCTGTGTTATCATCACCTGCAGGCAGGACAGCCCGAGATGAGATGTGGAGAGTGACCGGCTCAGCACAGCTTTCTTGGTTCCAAAACGTGTTTTTGGGAAGCCCCGCTCCTAACGCCTGCCTCTCTCTCACAGGGCTCCATCTGCTCTGACTGCTGCATCTCCTCCTGCTGCCTCGTGTGCTCCGTCTGCCAGATCAAGAGGGACATCAATCGGAGGAGAGCGATGGGCATCTTCTGGTCGGTGTGCTCTTTCCTTGTGCCTCACGCCATGGGAGGGTGTATGTGATTGCCTCTTCCTCCTCACTGTCTCTTCTTCTACCCTTGCAGATGCCATAGAGATGACACCGCCTCTGCCTTATGGGAAAGGGGCGCGGAGCCAGCTGTGACTATTGCATGTCTCCCTTTCATTCATGCCCCCAATAAAGAGCAACGTTTGCCTTGCCTCCATGTCTCGTGCAGATGGGTTTTCACCAGGGTTCTCCCAATTGCACCTTTCCTAAGCGATATGGGATGCACATGGGTTACTGGTGGACATGTCACCCTGTGTCACATCAGCAGGCTTCCTCATCACTGCGGGAGCAGTGGGGATGTTGTGCAGGCGGGGCGTGTGGACATTGGCCGGGAGGAGCAAAGGTTGGCAGAACCCAGTGCATAAAAGGGATGGGGAGTGGGGCAGGGCAGAACAGCGCCAGGAGCAGGACAGGTGTGTGCAGCTGGAGGGGGATTTGGGGTGAGACCGTGGGACATTGGGGTGAAACAGCACTGCCTGGGCAAGGGAAGGGGTGATGGGTATTCTAGTGGGAGTGGGGTTGTGGCATTGTAGGAAGAGCAGCAGCAATGTTGGGTTCTAACCCTTGTGCTGGGGATGAGAGCACAAAGCAGCCATGCCTTTTATCCCCATTCAGGGCAAGCAGAGCACATGGAACTTTTTGCATGGGACGTTGCAGAGCATTACCATCACTTAATGAAAAACACTTGCAGCTGTAAAGCTGAAGAGAGAGCAAGATGGGGTGAAGAAGGAGTGGAGCTCCTCAAGTGGAGCTGTTTTGGGGCAGATGGGTGTCGGCATAGAGGGAGGAGTGGGTGTCAGGCAGAGGCTGCAGCCTCTTGGCTGGGAAGAATGGGAGCAGGGGAGCTACAGCAGTACTGTGTGGGAGATGGTGGCTGGGTGTGGGGCAGGGAGAAGGACAGAGGAAAAAAGCAAGCTGCCCTGGAGTTGCTGAGGGAGGACACCCCTTCCTTCCTTCCCCACCAGCCTTCCCTCCAGGACACCCTGTGCAAAGCGCCGACCATGGCCACCCGTCACGTGGTGACAATCCAGCCTGGCTTCTCTGCACCCCCACAGCCCAGCAAGTGGCACACGGGGATGTTGGACTGCATGTCTGACTGCGGCGTCTGTGAGTAGGCATCAGCCCCATATCTTGCGTCCCTCCTGAGGGGATGTTGGTAGTGTTGCTGTGCTCCCCCCTGTCCTGGGTCAGACTGTGAGCTGGGGGCTTCCCTCCATTTCTCACAGGCATCTGTGGAGCCTTCTGTTATCCCTGCCTGGGCTGCCAGGTGGCCAATGCCATGGACGAGTTCTGCCTGTGTGGCGGCAGCGTGGCCATGCGGACGCTGTACCGCACCCGCTACAACATCCCGGTCAGTGGTGGGCTGGGGGGGAAGCGGTGTCGGGTGGTCCTATGGGTGCTCAGCCACGTGATGGCATTTTCTCATCAGGGCTCCATCCTGGGTGACTTCTGCTCGGTGCTGTGCTGCCCCATGTGCTCTCTCTGCCAGCTGAAGAGAGATATTGACTATCGGAAAGAGCAGCGCACCTTCTGGTGAGTGCTCCCTGCTCTGTAGAGCCACCCGGGGTGTCCCAGAGCCCCTTTCCAGCAGGCCCAGTGCGTCCCACCCCTCAACACCACCTTCTCTTGCAGATGCTGCTCCCCTGCCTGTGAAGTTGATGCTGCCCTCTAGGACTGTTTGGTTTGCTGTGGCTTTTCTTTGTTTTTTTTTCCCCAGTGATTTCCCCCCCCCCTTCAGTAACTCAGTCAATAAATAGCAGTGCTTGCCCTCACTTCTGTGTGTGTGTCTGTGTTTATTCACTTACTATTCTTTGATTTTACGATGTCTTGGTGTCCTGCTGCAACCTCAGAGAACAGCACGCTGCTTTCTGCTGAGCATTCAGAGCAGCACTGAGCACACCAGGTAGAGACCTTCTCTTGCAGACTTGCACCAGGATGAGACTGCACGAGGACTGCAAAATTTGCTGGGAAAAAAAGAAACAGGTAATAAAGCAGAAGCTGAGCCAGTTGTGGAACCTCAGCTCCCCCCCGCATGCAGCAGCAGGACCTATGACGGCATGGATGGGGAAGCACGGGGGACCACAGGATAGCTTCTCACGTCTGCATGAGCTTCATGAGGAACCACAGTGCAGAGCCCACCTGCCCAGAGCCCTCAGATTTGGGGAAAAAACATGTGCTTGTGGGCTGCCTTGCTGCAAAAAGGCATTTGAGCTCAGGGCACCGGAGTTGCCTACACACCAGTGACAGATGAGGACTGTGTCCCCAGCCTGAGCTCCTGCAGCCCTGTCCTTTCTACTCCACACTGCTGAAGGACCCCTTTGGGGATCCTTTTTCCCCTCCTCTGGGAACAGTGGGGCTGCATGGGTGTTGGCCATGTGCTGAAAAGGTTTCCCTGCCCATGGGTGTGAGATGGTGGTGACTGGAAGTGCAGAGTTCTGCAATACAAAGGGACGCGGAAGCTTTGTTTCTGTTTTTTATTATACTTTGGAAGTGATTACGTATTTACAATGCCTTTTATTTCTGCACGTTTGTATGCATTTACTCAAGGTGGTTCCAGTGTGGCAAAACCAAACTGCTCCCAGGACTGAGGCCAGCTGAAGTCAAAGAAGTGTCTTGCTACTGGTGTCACAACACCCAGCATCAGCAGGCACTGGCCACCAGGGTCCCATCTGCCCTGGAGACCTCCTGCGGAGAAGCTCTCATAGCAAATCTGCTCCTGGGTAAACACTGAGTTAACTTTATCCCTTTTCAGTGTCAGTGCATGGGTGGGTTTTAGGATGTGGCTTGGAAGGCAGGAGCTGTTGGAGTAACGTCCTTCCTGCTGGAAGCCAGGATAAGGCCCTAGGAAGACCTGAGAGTGTCCATTCAGTATCTAAAGGGGGGCTATTGAAGGAAAGGGTCTGCTTGAAAGGACAAAGAGAAACTGTTTCAATCTATAAGAGGGGATATTGAGACTGGATATAAGGAAGAACTTTTTCACACTAGGGGTGATGAGGCACTGGCACAAGTTGCCCGAAGAGGTGGATAAAGCCCCATTCTTGGAGACATTCAAGGTCAGGCTGGAAAGAGTCCCTTCCAATTCAGATGATTCTGTGATTTAATGAGATCTCCTTCCTATCTGCTGCTGACAGCTGTTTTCCAGGCAGCCCACTCTGCTCTCACAGATAATTAGTTATCCTAGTTTCTCCATCCTGCACTCAAGGACGCTGCTCTTCCTGCTAAGCTTATCAGGCACGCCGTGGCTCCTGGCTCAGCAGCTGTGTGTCCTTATCACTGTGTTTAATAGGCTGCCTGTGAGACTGCTCCATCCTTCTCCCCTGCAGTCAGGGGCTCAAGAGTGACTTTCAGGGCCTGACCAGCATGGCCCTATAGTCCCCAGTGCTATACAGCAATTCTGCTTGCTTCTCTGGGAAGATACACAACTAATTATAACTGTTCCTGCTGTTCTTCAGCTCTGGACCAGCGCACAGTCCAGCTCATAAACAGTCTGGCTACTGGATGTCCCAGATCATTTCTTGTTGCTCCTCTTTTTTGAAGTTGCTCTGGTTCTAGAAGCTACAGATGATGGATTCTTCAAGGCCACATACTAGTCAGCTTTGGCTAATTCCATCTCCACATAATTGATTCAGGCTCAAAAGTGCTGCACCCAGTCTGCATTCTCAAGCCTGAAAAAGGTAGGGCTTAGATATTTTTCTGAGTCTCAGAAACAAAGGACTGAATCCCACGTTTCCAATCACAAAAAGTGTAGGACTTAAGCCTTTCTATGAGCTTCAGAAATGCATGGCTACCTCCAGTTCTGAGCTCCAAAACCGGCCCTCGGTGCTTGTTATGCCCAAAATGTCACACCCTCCATTTTCAAGCTCTGAAAATGAAGAACTCAGGTTTCGTTTTTTTGTTTGTTTGTTTGTTTTTTTCCTGATTGCCCCAAGAACACATAACTTTCAGCTCCATTTTCATTTACTGAAAATGCAAGGCTTAAACTTTTCTTGTTTTTTAAGCTCCACAAAGGCATGACCAGGCTTTGGTTTCCGAACCCTGAAAACTGCCCAACAAGCTCATTAGAGTCCCCAAAAACGCAGCGCTGACACATTTTGGGGCTGACAGCACAGCGCGTGCTCGCTCCCATGCTAAGGACTGACCGTGACCCGTGTGCGACGCGGAAGGCCGGGGGCATGCGTGCACACCCTGCCCAAAACGCGGTGCTGGGAATTAGGGACGGCAGCTTCTCGCGGGGAGGACCCGGCCCGTGCGGCTGTGCGGTGGCGCCGGAGGGGTGAGGGTCGATTTATTTTCATTTATTTCGTTTTATTACAAGCTTTTCTCCACCACCTGCACGACCGCCACCGGCACCCAAACCGCTCCCAAAGCCGCCGGACATACCCAACCCGAGACCCCCGCTCCAGGCTTCAGCCCAAACGGGCTGGACCGACCCCAAGGTCGCTCCGTAGTGCCTCAGGCCCCACTCTCCACCCGACGGAGCTGGCCGGCACACTCCACAGCACAACAGACCGCCCCACACCAACGCCCACGGCCCACCAACTCGGAGCCCAGGTGCCCGTGCAATTTGTGTCTTCTGCTTCTCCAACCCCTCCCAGCCCGCCAATCACAGCCGAGCATAGCGCCGGCATGGCCAATCCCGCCCCGCCTCCCTCCGCTCTGCCCAATCCCAGATTGCAAACCTCTTGGCTCCGCCCCCAAGAGCGGAATCGTTCAGGTGTTGGCGCGGTGCGAGGGGAGCTGCTTGCGGCGGGAGTATAGCACTATGTACCTTTATAAAAGAGCTTCATACCTAGGTGTTAATGTAAAATAGAAACACGCGAGACGACGTTTATATGGTCCTATCTAAGTAGAAATTTATTTATACTATCCTAAGTTTAGGGTAGTTTCGTTAGATCGTGGTTGGACTCGATGATCTTTAAGGTGTTTTCCAACCTGAATGATTCTATGATCCTGTGATTCCAAGTACATACGATATATTTGTATTGCCTATTACAAATGCACATGGACGGACGCAGGAGCAGTAGCTGGCCACGGGGAGGTGGCTGGCAGCCAGTCCCAGGGCAGCCCTATAACACCACGTCCAGGCACGGCCAGCAGCCAATCCTGGCATTTCACATGCAGAGGAACCTAGGCACAAAATGGCGGCACGGTGCCAAAACAAAATGGCTGCCTACAGAGTCCCACAGAGGCAGCGGAGGGCACCTGGCCTTGGTTCAAGTCAAACACGGAGTTCGAAAATGCATTTTATTGAGGGCCAATACAAAGCACTTCTTACTTACTCTGGGCTTGCATCTCTTTCTTCCTTCTCTGCCAACTTGGCTGCTGCAAGGGAAGGACAGTGCAAGACCTCAGACCAGCTGGGAAGAGCAGAACAGTAAGAAATCAGTTGAGGTTTAACAAAACCAAGTGTAGAGTCTTGCACCTGGGAAGGAATAACTGCAAGTATGGGTACAGGCTGGGACACGGCCTGCTGGAGATGAGCTCTGCAGAGAGGAACCTGGTGGTCCTGGTGAACAACAGGTTGGCCATGAGCCAGCAGTGCATGGCATCTTGGGATGCATTAAAAGACAGCAGGTTGAAGAAGGTGATCCTCCCCTGCCCTGGTCAGCCCTCTCCAGGAGTGCCGTATCCAGTTCTGGGCTCCCTGGTACAAAAAAGTCAAGGATCTCCTGGAGAGAGAACAGTGGAGGGCCACAAAGATGATAAAGGGCCTAGAGCACCTCTGTGAGGAAAGCAGTCTGTTTAGGTTTGAGAAAAGAAGACTGAGAGGGGATGTAATTAATGTTTATAAATATCTTAAGTGTGGGTGACAAAGGAACATAGCGAACCTCTTTTCAGTGGTCTGTAGGGACAGGACAAGAGGAAATAGCCATAAACTGGAGTGCAGCAAGGTCTGCACAAATATACAAAAGAACTTAATGGTGAGGGTGATGAAGCACAGGAATGGGCTGCCCAGAGAAGTTGTGGAGTCTCCTAATCTGTAGATATGCAAGATCTGTCTGGACGCCCATCTGTGCAGCCTGCTGAAGGGAGCCTGCTTTGGCAGAATGGTTGGACTTGATGATCTCTAAAGGTCCCTTCCAACTCCCTACAGACCTGTGACTCCGTGATCTACTCAGATATGCCATTTCCTCAGTGCCTTCTTCCTCTTAAGGGAGCTCAGGGATATGGCCCTCGTCAGGAACTGAGTGGCAAATAGTATCAGGCTGGAGTTCAAAGAGCTGCTGCAGACCAAGATGATGGGGAAGGTGCTCGTGACCAGTCACCAGCTGGACTTATTTGCATTCACCACCCCTCTTCGGGCCCAGCCGTCCAGCCAGTTTCGTACTCATTGAAGAGTACACCTGTCCAAGCCTTGGGCTGCCAGCTTCTCCTGGAGAATACTGTGGGAAACAGAGTCTAAGGTCTGGGGGAGTCCAAGCACTAAGTGACGATGTAGAATACCAAAACAAAATGGCAACCTACAGAGTTGCACTGAAGTGACCCAGGGGATCCCAGAGCCCCCTCTGCTTTCTTCCTCACCTTCTCTTACACCCTAGCCCTCTGCTCCTCCACTGCAGGAAAACCTCTTGCTGTGCTTGCTTGGTAGCAGACTTTTCCTGTGCAGAGTGCCTGAGAGGCCTTCCAAATCACTGAAGAAAGGCACCTGCTGGTCACTAACATTATCAGAACAGCAGCTATAGCTCCATCCAGCCTGCAGTATGTTGAGTCCTTCCTCCTCTTGAAAACAGCATTCACCATCAACTTGGAAGTCAGCATCAGCAGTTCCAGT